GCCGCACACAACTCGAGTCGAGGAATCGTCTTTACGTTGAGTGGTGCCACTCTGGATTTGGCTGTAAGCAACGAAACACCTACGCTATCATTGTTGCAAGTCCTAATTTATATGCAACAACCGTATGCCTGACTTGAGGCGTCTGCGAAACCATGAATTTGCACTGTCTCATAAACGTTTAAGCAAACGTATCGCGGAATATGAATTTTGTGTAGATCACGCAGAGTCTCAATGAACTTATTCCACGAAGTATGCATACTCGTTGGAATAGTTTCATCCCAATCTACTTTTAACCGCCACAAGTTTTGCAACAGAATTTTCGCCCTTGTGATGATGGAGCCCAACAGCCCAAGTGGGTCAAACAGACGAGACGCTACCGACAAGATGTTTCGTTTTGTTGGCTTTAACGAAATAAAGCTATCCACATCTAGATGGTACCGAAATACATCATCTTGAGGGGCCCAGCGCATTCCAAGCGTTTTGACTGAGGTGGAGTCGTCAAACTTAATTGCCTTTTCGATGATGTTGCTATCATCACCGAACAAGGCCTGACAATTTGATGCCCACTTTGCCAAAGGGAACCCTCCTGAATCTAGTACCTCTCGTACTTGATTACAGATTTCTTTAAGCTCATCTAAAGAATCTGCTCCTGCCAACATGTCGTCAACATAAAAACAATTTTTAATGACATTTGAAGCTACAGGGTGAGATCGAGCATAAATATTTGCCAATTCAAACAACGAGCGCACAGCTAAAAATGGCGCTGATGCAGTCCCGTATGTGACGTGTTCAACTTAAAGGACTGCAGCTCATGAGAGGCGCTTTCTCGCCAGAGAATGAGCTGGTAATTTTTGTCTTTTTCAGACACGCTTATTTGCCTGTACATCTTGGAGATGTCGGCAGTAATTGCGTATTTATTCAACCGAAAATTTACAAGTGTTGAACAAAGCTCCCTCAACCATTAAAGTGTCATTTAATGATATAGCCGTTGACGTTTTACTAAAAGCGTCAAACACCACTCGCAATTTGGTTGTGGTGCTTTCAGGCCTCAGGACACACTGAGGACACAATATAGTAGTGCTGTCCGGGAGGAGGAGATTCAAGAGCAGACATATGCCCAAGATCACGATACTCTCTCATGAAGTCATGGTACATGTCATGGAGAGTTTTGTCTTTTGCGAGTTTGCGCTCAAGTTGCAGAAATCGTCTTTCAGCAGTTTGACAGGAAAGCCCTAGTACAGTGGGATCGGATTTGAACGGAAGTTCGACTTGAAAACGTCCTGTACACAGGCGCTGTACTGATTTGGTGAAGTGAGCTTCACAGGCCTTTTGTTCAGCTGTCTGGCGCACAGCCTTTGACTCATTTGGGCTCCGATCGAGTTCCCAAAAGCGTTGAACTAATGTGTCGAGAGAACAATCACTAACTTGAGCGGCAACATTAGCACTAAGTTGTTGACGAGGTATTTGTCCTGTGTACCTACCAGCAACAACTCATCCCAGCAAGGTCTTCTGCAACAATGGAAGACCAGAATTGAGCTCGATTTGCCCAACACACAACAAGCCGTAAAAGAATTCAGCGCCTAGAAGAATGTCAACCTTGGCTGGTTTATAAAACTCTGGGTCAGCCAGCTCGAGATTTTCGGGTATTTTCCAGCTCGTTGTGGGCAAAAAGTTACAAGGTTGACAAGTGGATATGGATTTAAGAACCGAAAAATCAGTGGCAAAGTTGTGTGCATTCAAACGAGATTGAATAGCAGCACACACCTTGTGCTTACTATCAGTTGTGGTCCCACCTGCCATTGCAATACTCACTGCCGTGTCTTCAAGTGTCTTGCCGTGTCTTGAGGCACATTTTTTGCGTCTTGGCGACCTCAAATCGCTGCATAACGGGAATAGATCCGAAAGAAGGGCAAGTATAAATATTGTGTTCCGCAGAACTACAGTATGTGCACTTCGAGATTGGTTTTGAAGGCTTTGAAGGACCCTTTGTGCAAGAAAACGAAGCTTTACTGTTTCTTGCAGATTCGGCTCGCGGTTTATTTTTAACCCGAGTTGTCTCTTCAGCAGCTAAATATTGGTAACGTCTATTTAACTGCTTAGCGCAGTCATCCCAAGAAGGCAACTTGTCATAATCGAGCTGTTCCTCAAAACGAGATTTGGTTACATTATCAACTTTGGCCATAAACATATGTATAATCATTGCGTTCGAAATGTCCTTTTCACTTCCCAACGAAGTTGAAGACGCATAAATGGCAGAAACAGTGTCAATGATGGACCGCAAACTAGACGCATTGGGTTTGGTCATACTTGGGATGTCAAACAATTGCGAGATAGTGTCGAAAAATATCAAACATTTGTTGTCGTACACAGACTTGAGGCTAGCAATGGCTTTCGAGTAATTGCAGTCCGATAACTGAAACGGTTTCACAACTCCTAGATCCTCACCTGACAAGCACGACACCAAATGATTAAACTTCTCGACGTTGGTCAACGAAGGATCGTCATGAACTAGGCTTTCAAATAAGCACATAAAATTCTTAAATTCGGCATGCTTTCCACTGAATGTAGGCAGCCGCATTTTGGGTAACTGGGACCGTTGACTGGCCATCATAGAACAGTCATGAGAAGTCTGACTTTCAACTTTTTGTTTCGTTGCCTTCACGTACAACGCCTTAGTTGAAATGCACAAATCCTCTAGTGGCCCTCTACTATCGTTACTTGGGTTGAGACTATCCAAATCTGCCTGAAGCGCCATAGCTTTCGTTATGTAACCTTCCAACAGCTCGAGACGGCACTCGAGTTCTGTTTGTTCAAACGAAATTGTCTTTAACTGAAATGCCGTTCTCATACGAGCAATATCAGCGCTAACCTTATCAAATTTCAGCAACTCTGTACTAGTTTAGAACTAGAAAAGTCAACTAAGAGTCAGCATAATAGCCCTTTTTTAATTGTTGTGGTTTGTTTTGCCTCGAGGTTTTGTTAGTAGTTATGTTTATGAGGGTGTATAATTTGTTAATTTATGCAAGGTGTGGTGTATGTGCGTATGTATATGTATGTATGTATATAATATTATCATGCAGTGGCGAGTATGTATGTATGATTATGTATTTGTGTATGTAATGTGGTTGCACAAAATAATTTAAGTGCCAAAAATTGAGTCCGCATAAGCATACACGTACTATATATACATATGTATGTACGTATGTGAATAGGTTTTAAACACCTTTTCTTGCACAAATTTGCAGCAATTGAACTTCTTAGAGGTTTATGCTCAATTGTTGGCACAGAATACCTGTAAGCTCTCAAAAGAGTCCACCGAAACTTCCCTGGATTCCGAGCGACGATCACCCATTAGCCAAGCCAAACGACAGTACCACAAGTAGGGCAGACAGCAGCTCCACAGTCCAAACGAGCAGTTGTAGTTGATGGTATCCAGAACACCAAGGCACCAAGCTCCAAATCCAAATAAATGTAGCAGGATGGTATCCAATCGGCACCAGCCTCAAACAAACGAGTAGTAGTCACACGACCGCGCACAAAAACCAAGCCACAAAGACCGCAAACAAACGAGAAAATAATCTTAAGAAAACCGAAGTCCCTGCTCGGGCGCCAATGAAAAATCGCTAGCTTTTTATTACAACAAACAATATTTAACTAGTTATTAATTAAAGACACGCGGAAATCTTCAGATTATAAACAATGGCTTTAATGGCTTGGAGAATGTACAGACGAGGTTCACAGTGCCGATATTACAAGACAAGTGATTTGCCTGCAGTCGCTACAAGTCAGCGGGCCGGCATAAAAAAAGGAATGCACAAAGAGAGCGCAGTAGGGGGCGCAATAGAGAGCGCAACAGAGATACTTAAAAACTATACATGGTGCTCCAACAGCGTGTATGTATGCAGCACAAAGTTGAACCCAAGCAGCAACAACAACATCAGCTGCGGGCAGTGTTACAAGCAGAGCATAGGCAGCGATTTTAATTTATGGCTATAACATTCTTCAGAATTGACCTATCATGATGGAACTTGACATACAGACACATAATCACTAACTGGATGTGACTACCATTTGAGTTAGAAATTCCAAGAATTACGGGAGTTATGGAAAAAACACGAATTGCGTGGGAGTGTGGGGGGGGGGGGGGGGGTGTATGTGAAAAAAAAAACACATTCGATCTGCCTAGGGCTGAATGTCAAGTTTGGTTATCCTACCTATTGTAGTTGCTGAGATCGTTGCGCTCATAAAGACAGACGGACGGACGGACATGGCTCGACTCGGCTTGTCACCCTGATCAAGAATATATATACTTTGTGGGGTGGGGTGGGGTCGCCTCCTTCTGTGTGTTACATACAGGCTACAAAAAGTTACAGCCTTAAAAGTAGTATCTGCCTACATATGTACTTATGATGTATAGCCCCATACAATCCCAATTGAAATATATCCTATTGAAACTGTATACAATGATATGTCCCTACCTACATCTGTAAGCATGCATGTGTTGAATAGTTTTCAATTTTATTTATTAATCTAATTTGTATATCCGGCACTCGAAAAAAGGAGTGTATTAGATTTGTGCAAATTATGTAATAGGCCGAAGGAAGCATAAAATATATGGATAAGCCATGTCCATCTATCTAGATGAGCGCTAGGATTTCGATAACAGCTGAGCCTAAATTGACCAACTAATATATAATTCTCTACTTCGTCTCCAAATCCAAATCGGTCATCTAAGAAAAGTTATTCGCTCTTCTTTTTGGTTCTGATGTGGGCGCTTACAAATCAGAGCCGAAAGTTTCCTTGGGTACAGTGTATTTCACTGTCGAGGTTCCTCGACTGTAGCATTCTCTCTTGCTTTTAAATTAATTTTAAAAATATCCTAAATTTTTTTCTTAGGAATGGGTACATGGCATTTAAAAGTTGGGTCGGCTTTGGCATTCTATTCTGTTTTAGGGAGATGTAGTTGACAACACCTTTGAACGCAGATTACACTTAAGACATTCTTTTTTATAGTTATTATAATATATAATATAAGCTTAACAAAAATTGTGGCATAGCGCATCGAAAATTAATAACTCTTTTAGAGATGCTTGCGTTTATGCAAACAGGCATGTCGTCTCGTCTGTGCTGTTTTTAAACTTTAATACCGCAAATTTTGTATGAAATTAATTTGTTGTGCATATGTATATTAAATCGACTAAATGCGAAAGTTTGTACAGAGAAACTCAATATGATACACCAATTGGATTAAATAGTTAACCATCTAACGGAGTGCCTAAATAAACCATTGACACCTCAGTGTTACCGTAAACAGCAGATACTGTAGGAAAAAGCCTTTTATCAGGCAAGCCTAGAATTAGAAAATCATTTATTAATTATTTTATATAAAGAATTCGTTCAAACACACCTCTAAACGCCACACCTAAAAACTCGTAATTCTTTTCGAAAGATAAAGTATTGTCTTCACAGTCCAGTATTACACGTATTCGTTCGCCAACTTGATATTTCGGAGCATTATTTAGTAACGGGTAGCTGCCTTGCATGTCGCCATTGTGTAAAAGATGGTTCTCAACTAGATTCCAGCCCCAACTTTGATCGTCCGACCCAAGAAGTGCCACATAGCCATTACATTGTAAAGATGCCTCCTTTGTGGATATGCCAATTACAGCTACTGTTCCTAAAGGGCCTTCCCAGATGACATCCCATGCATGACGGCCGTGCCGAAAGCCAATCTTTGCGCGAGCTCCATCTGTGCTCTGTGCCACGGGATTTCGATGCAAAGTAAGCCCACTGGGCTTAATATAAACATTACGAGAACAATCGTTGGGATTCCACGCATGATAAAACGCCCGGAGTTTTGTTTTATATGTCGAAACACAGTTTAGCAAGTCAGATTTAATGGCTTCCTTGGGCAGTTTTTGTAAACAGTGCCAACGCCAAACGTCGCTGTTTTCATCATTAAGAGTATTATACCAATTGCTACAAACAAGCGAACAGTTTCGCAGATCATGCAAATCCAGATAAGAAAAGATTACTTCAAGAACATTGTAGTTAAGGAGTGCGGCGATAGGATCGACCATTTTTTTATATTTTATATCATTTTTAAAATCACAAAAAAATCATATTTTATACAAAGTATTACAATCGATGGCGCTACGATAACTGCGAAAATTCATGGCCACGTTATCGACAATACAATCGACACAATTGCTAATACAAAAAATAAGTAGCAGTGTTGCAAATTCAGCTTTTTCCCGACAAATCTGGTAACTTCAAATAAAATTGCGGGATACAATTGCGAAAGTGGAAACATGGCAGTTTTATCATTATTTTTTTTATTAACATTTGCATATAACACTACTTTTAACCATCTTCATCACAAAAGAGTGCCTACTTTGTAAAAGTGCGAATGCATTCATGCCAAAGGAGTTGTTTGGTTCACTTTTCAAGAAAACAATATTGGTTAGTTACTAACTTGCGAAACATAAAAGAAGCGCTGTGCCTATTTACAGCAATAAACCTATTTAACGCTAAAGTTTTGTTGCTTCATTTTTCTCTCCTTCCTGTTAAAAACAGTTTTTTTCCGTTATAAAAAATTGGCAGCACTGATACGTACCAAAGAAGGTCATACAGTGGTGTCACAGAAATCTCTTCGGCCCAACCTACGCCGCTTTTGGGAGGTTTCTAATCTCGTTTGTTTTTCCAGGAGTTTTGATTAAAAACACTAACAAAGACATTTTTCCTCATAAAAAAAAACATTGAAATAAAAGAATTATAAATTTTCTGAACAATCTGTATCAAATATATTTTGCATATCCTATGTAAATATTATTAAATTATCAAATTACTAAAAGTATACTTAAAACACTAGCATTCACACACAGTATCCTAAACAACCGCACAATAGAGATGCCCCTACCACAAATAGAAAATTACATTTTTCGAAAATCACTATTTGTTGAGTTAAGTTTAAAGTTGTGTCAAAAGAAAGTTAAAAACAAAATAAAGAACTTTGTATTAATTAAACAAACTTTTTTTTTAAGTTTTATTTGTTTATCGAATCTTCTCTCTCGGAGACCCACCATAAGTAGTCAAATCTTAATCTAATATAGTTATTTAATTAATTACAATTAAATATAAGAAATATGGCCCTAACTGTTATAGCAGAGTTGGGAGGTCCCGTGTATGGCTAACCTGCCAAGTTAAATTCTGCGCAAGTCTATTTGGATGGTTCCGAAGCTTAAGCTGGTACTTTGCTTACACGTTGGCGACTTCATCTTTAACAGGTCCCACATTTAAATCTTTCCGGATATTTTCACTCCGTATGTGATGGTTCCCAGTATCTTCGATTGAGCTCACTCGATTAACTCAAAATGACTAATGGAAGCGTTTCCCCATAGCTCAGAGCCATATGTCCAAATTGGTTTGAGAACTGCATTGTACAAGAGTACTTTGTACTCCAATTATAGTGGTGAACGGACATTTAGAAGCCAATGTAGATTAATAGCTTTTAGTTTCAGTTGATCTCTCTTCGCTTCGATGTGTTTGCGCCACGTAAGCCGTCTATCCAAATGGACACAAAGGTAAGTTACATCGTTTTTTTGTGGAATATTGATGTTGTTTAAGGACAATGGAGGACAAGTTTGTTTGTTTAGAGTTTGCTCGTTTACATTTATGCTCCAGTCTGCTAGTCATTCTTCTATGGCCACGAGGTGAGATGATAAGAGTTCTGTAGCTCTTGTTGGACACTTGGAGCGACTTAGGATGGCAGTATCATCAGCAAATGTCGAAATTGTTGTATGACTGTTTGTCGGTATATCTGCTGTGTATATGATATACAGTGTCGGTCCAAGCACGCTTCGTTGGGGTACACCAGCTTCAATTGGATAGTATTCGGAGAAGAAATCTTTGCATCTAACTGCGAAACTTCTTTGCTGTAGGTATGACTCCAGTATTTTGTGGATGTTCTGTGGAAGTAATATTTTGATTTTGTGAATTAAGCCATCCAGCCAAACGCGGTCGAAGGCCTGGTCGACATCCAGAAAAACAGCGGAGAAATACTCTCGTTTTTCAAATGCATTTCGTATCTCAGAGGTTATTCGGTTGACTTGTTCAATGGTTCCATGTTTTTCGCGAAAATCAAATTGGTGATTTGGGATTGCACGGTTGGTGTGTAGGTGCTGTTTGGTGCGATTCAGGAGCAATTTTTCGAATATCTTCGATAGGCACGGCAGGAGACTGATAGGTCTATATGATGATGGCTGAGACTTGTCCTTTTCGGCTTTATGGATCATTGTGAGGACAGATTTTCTCCATTGTTGAGGATAATAGCCCCATTTCATCATGCTGTTGAAAATGGTGGGGAGAAAATATATCAGTTTGGGGGAAATTAAATCGTGGCCCAGCGCTTTTGTTTTGCTTTGAAACTTCTCCTCTTGCTTGGAATACGATAGGCGTGGTAGTTTCAAGATGATTGGTTAGTGGGAGCACAAAGCTGTTTGTTGCTGGATGTGGCTTGAAGACTTTTTCTAAATGGGCGGCAAATTGATTTGCCTTCTCTGCATTGCTGCGAGCCCACTTTCCTCTTTGTTTACGTAATGGTGATTCACTCTCGATTGGTGGACATACGCCTGATTTAGCTTTCCACAATGGGAATCGTTTGCTGTTTGGGCAGAGCTGCTACATATAGTCCATTTGGGCTCGGTGTTTCTCATCTTCTAGGGGTTTGCGTAGCAGATGGATGGCTATTTTTAACCGCTCTTTTGAGTCAGGTCATCTGTGCACGTGCCATTCCCGGCGAAGCCTTCTCTTATTTCGTAGCAGCTCTTCAATATGCCTGGGAACACGACTGCTTTTGTAAAGTTTATAGGCTGTGATTTCTGGAGTGGAATGTTTTTCCGCCAGTGACATTACAGATACTAATGCTTCAACTGAGGTATCTATGTCATCTTTGCAGTTCATGTTTGCGCAGCCATCAATATGGGAACTTACGTACTTCCTGTACTTAAGCATAGGCATTTGGCATTGTAGTCACCAGCTACTATGGAGCGGTCATCTAGTAGGTCGAAGAAATGTAAAAACTCTGCCTCAGAAACGGAGAAGCGCGGTGGGCAGTATACTGCGGCTAGGATTAAATAGCCGCTTTGTATTTCTATATGAATTGTTGTGGCCTGTAGATAAGTTGTAGAAAATGAAGGCAACGGATAGTGCCTTATGCGATGCTTTATCAAGATGCCAGTACCTCCATGAGCCTTACTATCGGGATGATTGGTCGCATAGAAGTTGTAGCCATTGAGATGAAAATATTTTTTGTTTGTTAGGTGAGTCTCTGATATGAGCATGGCGTCAATGTCATGTTGATTGAGGAACTGCAAGAGCTCGCATTTGTGCTGTGAAATGCCATTCGCATTCCAGAAACATATTTTTAGTGAAGCCATTTAAGTAGATTTCTGTTTGATTAGTAATTCCAGGGAGAGATTTTGATTGCGCAAAATTTCGTTCATCGTTTGTTGTATTGCTACCATTGTGTTTGTTACAGTTACCAGAATTGATTTAATTCCACTAGGCAATTGGGATAGATTTGCAGTGGTATGTTGGGCAGTAGTTTCTGGCCCCTGTTGCGGTGTCCGACGTTTCATTATTCCTGCAGCGGTTTGTTTAGAGACTGAGGCGTACGACTCGTTGGTGTAACTTAACGCCTTAGCAAAAGATACTCATACTCCGCCTTAGCTGTTTCGGCGTTATCTTCTTCAGGTAAACTGAGAATCGCGAATCTCTTGTTTTTCAGCGCCTCAGTTGGCACAGTGTTGTTTGCTGGTTTAGTTATTTTGGGTGCGTTGTTTCTCTTAGTTGCTTGTGCGCTTTTTTTTATAATTCCTTTTTACTCCACTTGGGAGCTTAGGGCTTCTACAAGCGCTTTTCCATCGAACTCTATTTCTGGCCGCCTGTCTGTTAATTCCTGAAGCGTGGTCCATCGCCATGTCCATTTCTCCTTCAAATTGTGCTAGCCTGGATGTTGCCTTTGGAGTTCTCACGTTCCATAGTCCGATTCTTGTCCGTTTATGCCTGTGGTCGTCATCGAAGTGGAGCCGTTTGGATTTTATTTCACTTGTATCAGTTTCGGTAATCAGTGAGGGATGTGTTTGGTGGTAATTAAAATGACCACGACGTTGAAGGCATGTAAACATACAAAGTAAGCAAAATTGGCAAGAATTTTGATCGTCAAGTGGCCTGTCTGTGTGTTAGCCAAAATATGAATGGCAATAGACCATCATTTAAAAATACCATCAAAACCAGTAAAACAAGATGCAACGTCATTTTTGTACACAGTTTCACTTCAACCCTCTTCGAGTATAGACGTGTAACTATGACAACAGTGCCTAAAAAAAGGTCATTGACCACGGCCATCAACTAACTCTCAAAAAAAAAAAAAAAAACTAAAAACAAGTGCATAGTGCAAGCGCTGGGCTTAAGCCCTAAAGCAAGAACAATGAAACCACCCGATCTGAGAAGAACTGCCACAAGCAACGAAAACACCAACGAAGGCAAATTTATAGTTATCACTAGAACGGACAATAACTCATTTATACACACCAATCCATTTATAATAAAAAAATGCATCGACTACACCTGCGGAGGTGAGGTCGACTTGTGTAAGAAAACTGGTGCAGGTACACTCCTCATCAAAATCAAAAACATAATTCAAACCAACAAGCTACTTAAAATTAAAGCCATAGCAGATCTCACCGTCACAGCAACTGAACATAAAACACTAAATTCAACAAAAGGTGTCATCTACTCTAACGAACTAAGATTCATAGAAGAGAGCGAAATACTGTCAGAAATAAAGCCGCAAAAAGTCACCGAAGTCCGCAAAATACTTAAAAAGAAGAAAGACAAACTAGTAGAAACAGAGCTTATTATCATTACGTTCGCCACACACCAACTGCCAGAAAAGTTTTCAATCGGGTACGAAAAAGTTAATGTAAGGCCCTTCGTCCCTCCCCCACTCCGATGCAAAAACTGCATTCGTTTCGGTCACCCAAAAGCGGTCTGCAAAAGCACCGAAACTTGCTATAATTGCTCGCAAGAAAAGCACACTACAGACAAC